GGCCCCTGCACCGTGCCAGAAGCCCCAGTCCCTTGTCTGCTGAATATATGCATTCTGGCTATTTTTTATCTCCAGGGAAATCTAGGGGCGCTATAGTGGTGACAGGATTCACCCATTTAGTATTTGACCAATTCACCAGAGGGCGAATTTTTGGTGCCTACACTGACTTCAGCAGTGTTGAAAGGCTCAAATGAGAAGTGCCGCACTGCTGCACCGCGATGGTGGATATCGCGGACATAGAATTAAGATGAGTCCAGGGTGCAATAAAATTTTAATGAATGTCTTACTTAGTTAGGAGGTAGGGATTTAGCTGTAAATATTTCTCAAAGAAAAGAATTTTTAGCAGGTAGATTGTGTAGAACTGCCTTCCTTAATACATTTAGTCATGGATAAATGGGACGCTTATTTTGCATCTAGGGCGTCACAAAACGTTTAATTTGGATTTAGATCCACTCAGAATTTTGGACTTTTTGGTTATGGTCATATATAATTATTCGCAACCTTCCTGACATCTTGATATAATGTTCTGGAAATTGCATAAAATATCGCCACCAATGGATCCAACGTGGGCTTGAACGGCTGATTTTAAAGGATCATGCGAGTCCACTCAGAATGGGATTCCGGGTGTTTGAAGCAAAACTGTATCTTTAAAGCAACCCACAACTGTGCATTTAATCCATTTTTTGCATTTCCCTTAATTCTTTACGCACTTCCGCTGTTAGCATGGTTTACTATCAGTCCTCTATAAGGGAATAACTGGGATCAGAAAATTCCAGAACTACTTTTTTGAAGAACAAAGCGAAAGTGATGCACAGCATTTACCTTTTAGTTATAAAAGTTGGAGTTTTTATGCAAACCAACGTTATGCCACTCCATTAGGGGCTTATAAGTGACAAGAAGGACTGTCTGTAAGGAGTGAGTGTGGTACACTTTGTCCATCAGCCTTATCGTAAGTGAGATCTGCAGGAAGACAGTGTTGCACTTCCAGTGGTCGTCTTTCACTTCCTTTATACGTCAAGAAAGGAAGCAACTTCCAGGTCTGTGTGTCTTATTGTGCTTTCAGAGGTAATTGGAAGTCCATGTAAAACATGAGTGCTGAGCTAGAACGCTACATGCAAAAAAACCGCCCAGCCATATGCATAATGCATGAGCCATTCCTCCACCGTGCCTGTAAGTTCAGGACGAGGTACGACAACCACTCCGTGATAGCAGTAAACTCTCTATCCTTGAGCAGTCAACTATCCGATTGACGAACTGACAGGTGTGTGTACCTTGCTTTTTCTCCTTACTCTAAAAACCTCGCCCTTTTTTCCTTTTGCTTCAACTTTATCACCACCCATAATCTAACGAAACAGTTTTTCACCTTTTTGAGAGTTTGACGTGTACTTGTTTATTTTTTGTACCGGGTACACGGTTGACAGAATACTAGGGACAGTGAAGTCGGTAAATCGTTTTTGGGTTTACCTGCACGTCCTGCTTATAAGGTGGTGTTTATGCCTTTACTTTGATCCACCCATTTCCTAATTAGAGGACTGAAAAGGGTAATCTTTTTATAAACTAATAGCACCCCTTTTGACCTCATTTTAACAATATTAACTACTAATGGGGTAGAAAAAAATCAATTTTCGTCGGTATTTTAGTAATTTTCTCTCCAATTAGTAATTCATTATTCCTCCAAATTATTCCCTTCGATAGCTTGGTCGTAGAATTTGCCTTCAGGCTAATTTTTCTATACAAATTTCACTTGCAAAATTTGTTTGAGTAGGAATTCATGAGTTTTTGGTTATTCTTACTTGTTAATGCCTCAGTCAGCCATACTCAGGCACCCGACGTTATGGAAGGTGCTGTCGGGAATTCTACGACACTCGGCAACAAGTTAATCCTCAAAACATCATTAGAAAGAAGGGAATGTGGTTTAAGTGAGTTGGGTATGGCAGCACAATTAATGGGAATTCTTAAATTGGCTTTATTAGAGCTAAACAGGTTATGCAATGTGAGTACACAAGAATAGAGACCGTGGGAAGTCTCCTGGTAAATCGCGATAGTCTTTGTGGCCATTGGTTGAGGCCAAAAAACACCTTGTCAAACATTAGGCAACCGGAGGTTTTATTCAGCCTTCGATGCATAGCTCTGTAATGACTTGAAGAGAGATGTGAAATGTGGCGGTTGTTTATATGAGCACCAGCCTGTGCCTTTATCCTAGCACCTTATTTAAAGCTCAGTTGAACGAATCCAATGCATGGGGCTAGAGCTTGTCAAACCTGATTAGTTTAACTCGACTTCAAAAGCGTGGAAGCTTTCTGTCAAATGAAAGTGTGGTCACAGACGGTCTTATCTGAAATGGTTAGCACAGTTTAGTTCTGCCGGGGAAGCAGTCAGAGGCTAATTCACTGCGTTTAGAAAGGATCGCCTTTTTTGACAGAAAAGGAGAATTAATAACTTTTCTACATCCTCAAAGTGACTGATAAAACTTATTTTAGCCTTCACACTAACTGGAAAAGCCATGGGTACCCTCCGCATACCCCAGCAGATGACAATGGGTTTCAGAGTTCACCATTTTATTCTCAACTACTTTCACATACGTACTGAAGTCGTATCGTGCATTTTATATTGCTTGCTAACTGACTTGTGATGAGAACCGAGCTTTGTATTGCAGTGTTACGAGAAAGTGTGGTCCACCATCCACACCAAAGGTGAAGATTACACCGTCTCCACAATACCGCCTGCTCAATCAGTTACGGCTGGACATTACTCCATACAAGGACAAGCAAAACTGGTCACAAGCGGGTCCCATTCGTGTTCTTTCAAGACAAAGCAAGAGGATTTGGTGAGTAGGAAGTGGGCGCTGCCTCACCTTCACTCGCGTCCCCTTGGCTATGGACATCCACACAAGAAATGGATCAAAGGGTTTGGAAATGAAAGTGAAATGGAAAGAGCCATGGGGAAGGCTCTACTTTTGTATCTAAATCAAGCCCCCTTACTGGCAAGCATGCGTCCAGGTGGCAAGGATTATTATCGTGCTTTCCATGCAAAGAGCCATACAAAATTACCGGTTCGTTGTGTAATTTTACGTACACTACTTACTAAGATAGGACAAAGTGAACAAGAAGCGGAATTATTCACTCCACCTCATTCACAACTGATGGCTTACGACCAGTTAATTTATGAGCGCCTCAAACTTAATCTACTCTTTAAGGGTAGTCTATAAAAATACGACTTTTTTTGCCTCTCTTCCTTAAATCCATCTGAACACATTAACAAGCAGTAAGCGTTGAAAATGAATTTAACTGTTCAAGTGACTCCTAAAAGCATATGGGGCATTTAAGGCAATAATTTCCATTATGAATTTAAAAAAAACTTGTTTCGCACCAAGTGTCAACTGCTAAATAAAATTACTCCTGCTTGTCAAATATCCATTTTACGTCCCTGTGTTAATTCATTTGGTTTAAGAGATCGTGCCAAATCCTGGTCTTGGACTGGGTACACATGCAAGGGAGATAATACTGTAGTGATACTACGCGAGGCAGGAAGTGGCGGAGATGATGATGAATAACGCTGATGGTGGACGAAGGTGTAGAACCACAACTGGCGGATGATACGCTCATCGGTGAGAAGTTTCGATGGACAAATACTTCAGGGAAGGCATCGGGTTTGTCATTTGCCATCCTGATCGTGATGGATGGCTATTCACGAAGTAGCAGTCATTTCCCTGTTTGCAACTTTAAAATACCAAGAAAGAAAACAAGAAAACAATCATCTGGTGGTAACAATGAACAGAGCACAATAGGGTGTCCCAGACTGTTCTAACGGCGCAGATAAATCTTTTCTTGTCAAAGCTCTCCAGTTTAGGATACATATGGGGCTGTTTAGAAAAACAAAAGTAGTCTAGCTTCCCCGAACTTTCTATTCTTCTTTTTTAAGTTCAAAAGTGTCGATCTAACTTCCAATATGAGATTCTTCTTGCTGATGGAAGAAATCACATTGAGAAACTTTTCGCTGCCAGTTGAGGAGCAAACATGTTCCACTGGAGTAGGAACACTTACTTATCTAGGGAGACAGCTAATAAAATAAAATATGGGAAATGTGGTAAGTAAACAGTAGCTAGTTCACCATTTTCCAATTGGTTTGGTCAATCCCAATCGCTTAATCAGGGATCTTACCGACAACTCATGCAGAGACTCAGATGTAAGTGTGTTAACATTTAAAAGCCTTTTTGGCCTTCATAGTTCACCTCTCTTGTAGCTTGTACCTCTGAATCGTATAGTAGAGTCAAGTATTTGAAAGCCATATTTATGCCTGTTAAACATTGTTGATGTTGTGAGCAGTCCACTTTGTGTTTGAAACTATGGTGTGAGGGGGAAAATTGTAAATTCTCTAAGCAAACATCTCAATCTCGAGTCTTCTCATATCTAAGGCCGAATTGGAATCAGTTATGATCATTTACAGAGAAAAGCCCTCCAAATACCGATGTCAGATAGCGATTTTTGCCATAATCTGAAGGTCTGACAGCCATCTGCGTGGTAATTTGAGAACCTGAAAGAATATCTTGGTCTTATTTCTTAAAATACCAATTATATCACAGAGGCGTAGGTTGGTTAGCAGGTGGAGCTTATGATAATGGAATAAAAATAAGGAAAAAATTAAAGAAAATCGGTGAACATGATTTATGCTACGAGTACAATGCACCATCTGAATTAAAAAAGAAAGCGATTTCAAGAACACCTCTCAGGTTTATGATGTTTAAGATTACAGTAGACTTGATGTCTCACGGCGAGAGGTAGGTGCGACTAATTACATTGCTTCGCTTTCAACGCGTTAGCGAGTCATTTTATTAAAGAATACTTTCTCAAAAAGAACATAAGTATCCTCATATTCAATGGTTAAATTCTTACTTCATCTGTTTCGACATGCTCTCACAAATGGGACCTGACAATCTACTATTCCCTGGTTGGTGACTCATGGCTAAGCTAAAAAGGTTACAAATAAATTCAACTTTATAGATACAAGGGAGGATATGAAATACCCTAATTATGGAACTCAGACAAAGTTGGCAATAAATTCTGTCTTCTTATTCGGTAGCCATGTCTAGACCACTGTAAATCAATGCAAAGGAATGTTGTTATCAGGGCATTTGTCCCAAAACCCGTGTTTATTTAATATTAGCATTGATATGGCATAGCTCATACAATAATACTTCGTCTTTATTTTGTACATATGGGTAGAAAATTGAAATCCCGAGGTGTGTTCCCTTGATAAGATCTACAACACAATGCAGAAGTGTGGATATTTAACAGTGATTAAAATACAACAAGTTGCGCACATATGCGATAGGAAACTCAGATTTAAAGATTGGCCAGCAAAAGACATTTAGAAGCGTTTTACTAAAGAAGATGTATATTCTCTCCTCCCAAGCGAACAAGAAGCATCCATATTGATGGACATAATAAAATTTAAGAAAGAATAACATTTTGTATGTAGCTGCGACCTACCAAACTTGTTCAAAGCTGTGCTATAAACAATGCATTTATTATGACTCTTAAAGATCAGCCTTTTATTGCTGTCTCCAGTCTAAAAGTTTTCTTAAAATTTACTGGTACATTGGAGCCTCGTATAAAAGGTCGCAGGCTTCTTGGGGTAAGTTCACATCCTATTGTCAGTTTAATTTCGACTTCCTGTGTCTTAATATGGTTTACTCCTCTCTTTTGAGGTACGGCAAATTTAACGGTTGAATCAATACTCTACTGTTGCTGGGAATCATACATCAAGGTTGAGGTCCAACTCATATTTTACAGGTAATGTTCACTATTTCCTCCGTTGTTCGCTTAAGTGCGAAACTTCTGCACAGATAGTGGCTCTTAAGTGTACCTTAGTTAGTTTTTTCTTAAAAATAAGTGAGCTTTTATGCCTTCTAAATAAGCTACATTTAGTGTGTAGCATCCCTTTTTCTTTTTTGGACAGCTGTGCAGTTAATATCGCGTCTGAATGAAAGCCGTAATATAATGCCGTCAGTTGACAAAGTAGTCTATCAAGGATCAACTAGTATCTACCGAGTTGTATGACTATTCTCTCCGCATGTCCTTTTCAATCGTTGACAAATCAATCTAGCAGTATCACCATGATAGAATTGCCTTTTTCCTTCAAAATTTTCTTGACCATTGTATATTTTTGTCTCTCAGTTTGAGTTAAAGACGGGTTTTTATTTCCTTTTTGTATTAAGTATAAAGATATCATCACTGTTCATGTGATAACTTGTCGTTAAACAGGTTTTTCTTTAACTTGACCATATTCCCGTCTATTATTATCGTGCAGTTTTAATTTTCTATTACTGTCGGTAAACAGCCTGTAGTTAGTTTTCTATTGATGGTGCAGAAGAGTTGAAAACATCGAAATTTGGACAGGATTTTCACAAACAGCCATTTTTTATGCAATTGAAGGATTTAAAATCTAGCCTCTGCCATACATTGTGTGTTGTTTTTGGCATTTTTCTTTGTTATTATGTTGGTCGTATCAGTGGCTGTCGCGTCTATTAATATCACGAATATGAATTAGGTTTACAGTTTCGCCACTTCTCCATGAGGAGCCGTCATTAGCTCGGCCCTCCTCTGGGGATAGCTTGCTTGGCCTGGGTTAAATCGCCTTCAAATTTGTTGAATTCTTTGCTATTTAAATCAGGCCTTGATGTCCTATTGGTCGCTACGAGATTTGTATGAGGCAGTTATTCTCATTCGAAATCTTGAGCTATTATTGCTCATCAATTTCATAGTTCGAATATCTGTTTCCCCTTTCGTACATTGCCACATTCATTAGCTGTTTACAAGGAGTCACTATTGTGGGTCTTCAAAGGCATGAGTCTTATCCTCGAATGTTTCCTCCAACTAAGCACGCTCACAGATGGAGTCTCTGGCGAGGAATGACTGATACAACTCAGATGCGCTGTTATAATATGACACGTTCGAAAATATAAGCAATGCAACTTTTCTCTGATTAGAGCAAGTTGCACCTCTTTTCTTGTTGATGACATTACTGTCACGTATCGCTATAATTTCCAGTGTCATGTCTCTCAATCTCGGCTGCCGCTTTCGTTACCTCCTCGCCTTTCGATCTCTCCATACCAGCACCGTCCTTCCAAAAGGTAACAGTCAGCGTTACCGGGTGAAATCCGGTGTTGGCAGTACCGGATCCAAGGCAACTTCACGACGCGAGTCTGTGGCGAACATGCGCGCTGCGTCTTCGCGGGCCAGATGGGAGGCGGAAGCGGCGGCGGAGGCGAGAGTGAGGGACCTTCACCCTTTACCCACCCTCAACGTCTTCTTCGCTGAGCGGTTTGAGCGGAGGCGGTGGCCTCTGCGTGATGCAGTAGCGATGCTACGAGAGGCTGCAGTCCCCGAAATGTTCAATTGTCTGGAAAATCCGCTCTACGCTAAGGTGAGCAGTGATATCCTTTCTTTTTGTTTCTAGAGGTGCGTTCAATTTCCCTATTTGTTATCACCGCTTAAAGCTGATGTATGCATTGAAAGTATAACTGCCAATTGAACGAAACCCAGTTTTTTAAGCCAATTCATCGTATAAAGGTGATAGAAATGTTAGAGACGATTGTCATTGGTGACCTTTGTCTTCTTGTTAAGAAGATTGGCATAATCGCGTGTGAGACTAATAGTACTTTATTTAACAACTTAGGCGACACTGAATCAGCGGACAAAGAAGGCGAATAAGTTTGTCTCGAAATTGGAGACCTCCACCATACTGCCACATCAACTGAACTTTCTCCCAAAACGACGCATCATTGTTCTCACCAATGTAAGAACTAACGAACTTCTTGCTCCCATTGCCTCCTGCGCTACCATATTTGATCTGCTTTTATTACTGGTGCTCTTGATTGTTCCTCTTGAGTTTTTTTGTGTCGTAAAAATTTTGGGATTACAAGTTAGGGAAGGTTTATTTAAAGCTACAACTGAATCTTCTTTTGTAAACTAAGTAAACTACTTTCTTTCCGAAAAATTGAAGTGACTACTTTGGTTGAAATAATCTCCAGTACGCTTCATAGTTCAAACTTTTTCAGCACGAAACAAGGTTGCTAGGAATTCACTTCCATACGACGCGTTTTATCTCTTGGGGTAAACAACACAGCTTTGAAACTAAGTTAAACTGATTTTGTGAAGAAGGTGGACTTAGACTACTTCGAAGTCGTCCGATTTGAGAATTTAAAGCGTGAGGAAACGGGCAGTGTACAATGATGTTTACCTTGCTAGCAGGCTTACGTACATTTCGTTCGGTTTGTAGGTTCCTACAATTCACCGAAATGAAACTGCCTAAACATTTTTGCTTACTACTGTATTTGTGGAGGCAATCAACGAGGCACTACATTATGTGTGCCAGGTTTTTGTTCCGACTGAATGAGTTAGGGGAAGTGGTAGACAATCCTATTCCACGCTAATGCTTGCCACTAAGCTCTTGATTATGAATCCTTGGATCGCTTTCAATTGCATAGGCAATCATCTGTCACATGCTTCTTGAACCATGGCCTTTTAGACGGTAATTCTGTTTTTTCTGCATCCATTGTTCATTTTAAATAGTCAAATCTTCACACCAGTATGGTCATTTTCGGGCCTCTTAATCTACTCAGGGTGACAGCAAGGGAGAGCAAGAATTTTCCTTGCTGAACTCATCCAGATAAAGATGGATTTGTGTTTGTGATTCACCTTCTGCTGATAAAATCTGGCCTAATTTTGAGCACTGTCTTTCACTTTGGCCTAATTCAAACGCAAGACTTGCAGTCCTCCTCACTCCAGAAAGGTGTTTACTCCCACTGGTACGAGCACAATTAATTGGATGATACAATTGAAATCGTCTCAATCTAATAGGTGAATGCTCTTTGCAGGACGCCGCGGTGGCAGATGAGTGTGTCAAACAATGGGGTGCAGTGGCTGCGGGAGGTGCGGACATTGTCGGACGCCTGGAGGTGGGCGCATTCCACTGGGATGAGTATGATGACGTCGTTGCTCACCCCGACTTCGCTGAAGCCCTTCACAAGGTTCGAAAGATTCTGCACAACCGTATGCCCACTGTCAAAAACGGTGAGCTGCGACTTCTTCCCCTTTCTTTTGTTGCAAATCTAAGTGAAGTTTTTAGCTCTGAAGACGTTTTAGAGCTAAACCTAGCATTATTATGCGCGTATGGATGAGCTTCGTATCATTTTTTCTGAGAATTAGTTTGCCTGTGTCCAAAGTGAGCATAATGCGAGGGGCGTCTGGGTCAATCGGAGGTTTTTGGGGTTGAAGGAACAAATTTCAAGAAATTGCAAGCTCGTCCATTGCCCATATAGTCCTAACGTGCGTATCTCGGTGTTTAACTACCACCTGGAAGGCCTTGGTGAGTAAGGATTTGTCTGTTCAGCTTAACCAGCCTAGGACAGTCAACTTCACTTCATTCTCATCACGCAGTGCACGATAGCACAAATTCTTGCGTTCGTGAATGATCGAGCTTCGTTAATCATTCAAACAAAAGAATTCACATTGTGACATTTTAGGATAAATTGGGTGTCAATCAGCCGTCTAGGGTCATTCATGTGTTAAGGTCATTCGGAAACCTTCCGATTCATTGACACCTCCATCAAGGGCGTCCCACTCGCATGCAGTGACCAATGCAATAAGTTTGAAAAATCCCTATTAGTTCTCCAATTCGTTATATTTAATAAATGAACCATTATCAGGTTGTCTGCTGACCAACCGGTTGACTGATGCTGACTGGTTTGTGATGAGATAAATGAACGAGCGTACCATTGTCTACCTACACTACTCGTCCCATACTTCTGAGGTAGACACCACTGCATCGCCACATCACTATGCTTGGTTTACGAGTGTGTGGTGGACTGAAGACCGAATTGTTACCTTGCTGAAGGCTGAACAGTTGCTGCTGCGATTTGTACCATGCACCTCGATACAGCTCGAGAGTGTGGGAGAAGAACTTCATTTTTTTAGAGACAGTCAGAGCTGGAAGGCCATTCGGTAGAAAGTTTCGTTCTCCTTCTCGTTCTCATTCTTGCAAGACAACTCAACACCTCGTGCTTCACATCGGCACAAAACTTAGCCGCAAGAAAAGTTAGATTTGAGAATGAAGAGAGAACGAGGGAAAGAGACACTGCCTCATCTCGCCCTCCATGCTTCCCTCATATTTCTCCAGGTGATTGTTCCACACGAATAAGACGGGTGGGAGATGAGGGTGAGGTGGAAATGTGGGTGGTTTGGTTGTCCGCCTCAAGATATAAAACGGGTTGTGTAGAAATGGACTTCACAGCAACATTGTTTCCTACTGAGAAAGGATTGCAGTTTGTAATTGTGTGAGAAGTCCATTGATATCCTATTTCTGTTTTTTCCACCTCCAGACGCATCTTTATACCATCTGATAATTTAGTAAACTGCCCAGCCCGAACTGTTGAACTACGAGTTGATGTTGACACGCTCAGTGCCGCTTTCTTAGGCGAAACTCGGCCACTACAGTCTAGATTTAATGTCAATTCTGCTCAAGAACTAAACTCGAATATATTTATTTCCAGAACAAGAAAATCTTATATCTTAATTAGGCTGCTTACGACAAAAGATTTGGAGCAGTTGCGGTTTTTATGAATTGTCAGGGAGCCCGTCACATTTGCTGGGAGCATTTGCAAAGCCGGTTGCAAACACGCTTAATGAAACACTTTTAACACAGTGTGGCCATTCTTTTCACCACATGCCACCTCTTGCCTACTTTATAGGTCGAATGGGCGAGGACGTGATTGAATTGTTAAAAGCTCAGCAAATCTGTGTTCTTCTCAGTTCGGTTCCCGTGGAAGGTGTTCCCGAAATAAACGAAATTCAGATGGTTTTAGGTCAGGTAGGTTGGATGCAACTTCATTTGCAAACATTCCTTTCAGGTATGTCTTAATCTTTGTCATAATTTTTGATGAAGAGGCTTATTTAGGATAAACTTTTTTTAAAAAAATACGATTTGCTTTAGTGCTCCGAGATTTCCCTGGAGATAAAATAGAATGCATATATTCAATAGACAGAATGGGCTGGGGCTTCTGCCATGGCACAGGGGCCAGCCCACCC